CCCCAAAACCCCAAAACCCCAAAACCCCGAGAATTCTTCAGATAGTTGAAAGATGGCAGAAGCTTTTATTAAAACAAATATTAAGAGGGGTTTAACCAAACTAGATTAGGAGTTAAAGACTTAGTATGGAGAAAACATAAAACCTCTTTAGTTACAACTCTTCTCTGCTTGTAGGGCTAGACTTTTTGTAATTAAAGTCAAGCCTACCTTTCAAGGTAAGCTTAAATTTCACAGTAAATTTTCAAATTTTTTGTTCTTAGTTTAACTGGTCAAGTAGGTAGGCTAACCTCTAAATTTGACTAAAGATATTTAGTGTAAGAAGAGAATAAATTATTGAAGAATAAACAGTAAAATTTCTTTCTTCAAGCTTCACCCAGGACTTATTTCAACCTTTCTCGCCTTAATGAGCCTACCTCAGGAGCAGAAATATCTTCTCCAAGTGCAAAGATTTTAGGATGAATTTGATTTTGCTAAATTTCCACTAAACTTATTGCTTAATGAATGGTAATAAATTTAATGAAAGCAATAAATAGACAATTTTTACATCTTTATTAATTATAAATAATTCTTCAAAATTTCTGACGTTTTCATGAAACTCTCTAAATATCAGATGAGGAGTTTACCCAAAGAAATCATGCTTGATGCAACCTTTGGAACTTTTGAGCTATTAAAATGTAATATGAAGACATTTATCAGGTTAATGACTAAAACTCATTAAGAAAGAATAATAATGCTAATTCATTCCATCTTCCTTCGACCATTCACTTGAATTGGTAGGTTCAGAGGAACTTAAAGTTATTTGCTACGACTATCATAGTTCGAAAGGACTATAATATTCGTTTGGCAAGACACCTAGCATGATTCGAATGATGCCCTTTAACGATTCATGAAGGCTTCTCAAAATCTAGGTTTAGTTAATAATTAATAAATTTACCCGAGAAATAACAATTTGAAGTCGCCTGATTTGTTGATAATAAAAGAGTTTATTTTAAATAATTTCATTTCTAATTATATTACCACCTTATTTCCCCAGAATTTTAGACAAATCTGGAGAATGAAAAGTAATGCTCTGCTATCATACCACTCCTCACTCAAAACTATTTAAGCAAGAATTTTAGATTCAGATAAATAATATTTTATCATGAATATGGAATTCCAAATTTTAAACTTCCAGAGTTACCAACTTGCCCTTGAGCTCTATGCTCCCCAGCTCATAATAATGGACACTTGTGTAGTCATGCCAATGGGTGTAGATCAGAGCAACTACTGCGAGTGCTCTCTAGATTTATCTAGCTATTGCCTCTGCCAGCTTGAAGGGCTGAGTTCTTACTGTGGTTGCAGTAGAAGAAAGCCACTTGAAAAGGTGGAACCTTCTCAAAGTTTAATGATCACAAAGCCAGAAACAACAATTCAAGACAAATTTATCAGGAAAAGAACGGCTTATCTTCGAGCCAAACTTAAGAGGCTTTATAGATACCTTGATCAAATTGCTGATGATGCCAAAGTACTAGTGTATGGGAAACAAAAAGTAAATCCAAAATCTCGCAAAGCTAGCTCAAGAAGATCCCGATACATCGGAGTGTTCAAAAACGGGGCCAAGTGGCAAGCCCTGATCAATATCCACGCGAAGAAGACTTACATCGAAACATACCTGACTGAAGAGCCTGCTTCCAGAGCCTTCGACTTAATGTCGTTGATCTTAAACTCAGAGAAAGCTGTGACCAACTACGACTACTCGAAGACAGATATCCTTGAGTTGATAGCTTCTCACTCGTGCATGGAATGCCCTGAGGCCATTGTCAATAAGTTTTGCTTATAAGCTGCATTTCAATTATAGATTTTATTTAAGGGGTTTTGGGGTTTTGGGGTTTTGGGGTTTTGGGG